ATAGCCAAAGCAATCCTTAGCAGAAGAGTGAAGCAGGTGGCATCACAATGCTAGACCTTAAACTATACTACAGAGCAATAGTAACAAAAACGGCATGGGCTGGGTGCAGTGGTGCACGTCTGTAATCCCAGTGGCTCAGGAGGCTGAGACAGGAGAACTGAGAGTTCAAAGCCAGCCTCAGTAATGGTGAGGCCCTAAGCAACTCAGTGAGACCCTGTCTCTAAAGAAAATACAAAATAGGGCTGGGGATGTGGCTCAGTGGTTGAATACCCCTGAGTTTAATCCCCAGTACCATAAATAAATAAATGTATTGTGTCCACCTACAACCAAAAGTAATAATGATCATAATTTAATAATAATAATAATAAATATTTTTAAAGGCACCAAAATAGACTTGTAGACCAATGCTACAGAATAGAGGACACAGAGACAAACCCACATAAATACAGTTCTCTCATACTAGACAAAAGTGCCAGAACATATATTGGAGAGAAGATAGTTTATTCAACAATGGTGCTAGGAAAACTGGAAGTCCATATGCAGCAAAGTGAAATTAAGCCACTGTCTGTCACGATGCACAAAACTCGACTCACAGTGCTTCAAGGACCTAGGAATTAGACCAGAGACCCTGTGCCTATTGGAAGAAAAAGTAGACCCAAATCTCCATCATGTCAGATCAGGCCCTGAGTTTCTTAATAAGACTCCTATAGTGCCAGAAATAAAATCAAGAATCAGTAAATGGGATGGATTCAAGCTGAAAAGCTTCTTAGCAAAAGAAACAACCTGTGAGGTGAAGAGAGAGCCTACATCCTGGGAGCATATCTTTACCACAAGCACATCAGATAGAGCACTAATCTCTAGGGTATATAAAGAACTCAAAAAACTAAACTCCAAAAAGACAAATGACCCAATCGATAAATGGGCCAAGGATCTGAACAGACACCTCTTAGAAGGTGACATACAATCAATCAACAAATATATGAAGAAATGTTCATCATCTCTAGCAAACTAGTTCTAGAGAACTGCAAATCAAAACCACTCTAAGGTTTCATCTCACTCCAGTCAGAATGGCAGCTGTTAAGAATACAAACAACAGCAAGTGTTGGCGAGGATGTGGGGAAAAGGCACACTCATACATTGCTGATGGGACTGCAGATGGGTGCAGCCAATATGGAAAGCAGTATGGAGATTCCTTGGAAAACTGGGAATGGAACCACCTTTTGACCCAGCTATCCCACTCCTTGGTCTATAAACAAAGGACTTAAAACCAGCCTACTACAGGGACACAGCCACATCCATGTTTATAGCAGCACAATTCACAACAACTAAACTGTGGGACCAACACAGATGCCCTTCAGTAGATGAATGGATAAAGAAACTGTGGCATAGATACCCAATGGAATATTAAAAGAGAATAAAATCATGGCATTTGCATGGAGTTGGAGAATATGATGCTAAGTGAAGTTAGCCAATCCCCCAAAATCAATGACCAAATGTTTTCTCTGATATGTGGATGGTGATCACAATGGGGATGGGGGAGCATGGGAGGAATGGAGGGACGTTGGATAGGACAAAGGGGAGGGAGGGGAAGGGAGGGGCAGGGGGTAGGAAAGACGGTGGAATAAGATGGACATCACTACCCCAGGTACAGGTATGAAGCCTGAATGGTGTGACTCTACTTTGTGAACAACCAGAGACATGAAAACTGTGCTCTGTATGAGCACCGTGAATTGACATGCATTCTCTGTCACGTATAACAATGTAGAATAAACAAATAAACTTTTTAAAAAGAAGGTATAAAGACAACCCACAGAATGGGAGAAAATATCGTGAACTGTATCTTACACAGAGCTGGAGGCCATAATATATAGAACAAATGTTATCTTAACCAGAAAAAGGCAAATAGCAAGCCAATGGGCAGAGGGTTTGATGGATAGACACATCTCCATGGAGATATGCAAATGACCACTAAGCACCAGAGAAAGCGGTGCCACACGGTTGCCAGGAGGGAACCAGGCGGGAGCTTCAGGGGCTGCCTCAGCCCGGGCGGGCGGCAGGGGCGGGCTCTGTGGAGAGACTGGAACCCGACATTGCTGGTGGGACGAGGTGGGGCAGCACTTTGGAGCAGTTAAGCGCAGATCCTGTGAGGCCCCGCGACCCCTCCTGGGTGCCTGGGAGACCTGTGCATGGATCTTGAGCCCCTCATCCCAAACCACCAACAGGCAAAAGCAGCCCACTGTTCACACCGCGATTCACCAACCACTGTTCACCACGGGTGGAGAAAACACCTGCGTATCCAGGGGCACGGCACGTCCAGACCTTGGAGATACACGGCCAGGAAAGAGAGCCCAGGGGCAAATGGCCACACGTGTGTGTTTTTACTTGTTTTGACGGGGGCCTCCCTCCATTGCCTAGGCTGGACTCCAACTCCCGGGCTCAAGGGATCCTCCTGCCTCAGCCTCCCTGGAGCTGGGACCACAAGTGCCCAGCCCCCGGGCCCAGCTTGTGTGACTAAGAAACGTCTGGAACAGGCAGATCCAGAGTCAGAAAGTGGATCCGAACGTGGCAGGGGCTGGGGGGGGGGGGGGCAGGGGGGGACGGCTAAAGGACACGGGGCCCTTTTCGAGGGGACGAAAACGCTCTGGAATTAGATGACGTGATGGTGACCTAGGCCTGTGAACACACCTCGGGCACCTGGGCTGGACAGCCCTGGGCCACTGTCGGTCTTCACCCAGCCACTGAGCACTGCAGTGCTTGGCCCAGGACACAGGGGTGTGTGTCACACGAGTGTCACACGAGTGTCACGGGAGCTCGCCTCCAGTCTGTGGAGCTACCGGGAGGGCGTCCTGGAGGAGGGGAAGGACTGGGAACGGGCAGAGCCCTGGGCAGCAGGGTCCCCCAGGGACAGCCGGCCAGGGCTTCACCTCCAGGTGCAGGAAAGGAACAGGGACAGAGGCTGTCTTCGCTGGGCCTCCCAAAGCCAGAGGCGCCACAGCTGCCTCCGCCCCTCGGGAGAGCCCTGCTCCCTCCACGCCCGCGAGCCCCGCTGCCCTGGCCAGGCCTCCAGGACCTCCATCCCTCACAGTGGAAGCCGCGTGTCCCTGGGCGAAGCTTCCTGTGCGCTTTTGAACTTAACTCAGCAGATTAACGTTGGTGAATAGGATCTGGTTATGAATTTTAATGACTTCCATTCATTCCCAGTCCAAACAAATTACATATCTGGTGCTTTATTTAATATGTTTATTGCCATTTTATTACACTCATTGGCAACCAAACAGCATAAAATATTAATTTAAAGAGGCAGTCGTGTGGATTCTCTCTCCAAGTGGAGCGTGGGACGGCTCTCGGAGTCGCCCAGTGTCACTCCCCGGTCCCTGAAGACACAACCAACTGAGTTTGTTTCGTGTGTTCGGTTCTGGGAACCGAACCCGGGCCTCTGCCTCGGAGCTGCACCCGGCTTCGCTTGTTCATGAGCTGGTTTTAACAGTCCCCACTGGCCCTGGGGTCAGAGAGGGCACAGCAAGGTGGCAGCTAGAGCACAGCCCTGCTGTGACGCCTCCACGCCGACCCATTCTCAGAATGCAGGACAGAAGGCCACTGTCCCCCCACCCCTCCCCACCCACAGCCTCCAGGAGCTGAGAGGTCCCTAGGGGACCCCGTGACCCAGGACAATACCCCGCCCCAAGGTCCTTAACCTATCTCATCTGCAAACTCCCTCTCCCCGTCAGGGGACAGCTGCTTCAGGCCAAGGGAAGAGGGCAGGTGCTCAGGGCCAGATCCGTCCCGCCTGGCCCCAGAGCCCTGGAGGGCGGGGCAGCAAGCCCCCTACTCGCCAAGCCCACCGTGGGCCCAGGAGCATCAGAGCTTCAGGTAACGGCCAGATCCCACGCGAGTTTCTAACACACAAGATGGACGCGAGGAAAAGGACACTCACTGAGCTCTGGTGTGGCCATCCTGTAGCTGACCCGACCTCCCCAGAGCTGTGGGATGAGCAGCCTCGTCTTCCACGGCCAGAGCAGGGGTATGGGCTGGGGGGGGGGGCAAGCTCATGACCTGGTGGCTCAGCACCGCAGCTGCTGGGATGGGGCTGGAACAGGGAGGCCCTGCTGGCAGCCAGGACGCCAGGGCAGAAGGGCTTCCCGGAGGAGGCGCCACTGAGACAGATGTAAAAGATGAAGTTGGGGACAGCAGGGAAGGGGGGTGGGGCACAGAATGGCTCTCGGAGTCCCTGAAGGTTACAGGTGGTAAGGCCCGCGCAGCAGCGCTCGCCTGTGATCCCAGCAGCCTGGGAGGCTGAGGCAGGAGGATTGCAAGGTCAAAGCAGCCTCAGCAACTTAGTGAGGCCCTGAGCAACTCAGCGAGACCCCATCTCTCAATAAAATACAAAAGAGGGCTGGGGTGTGGCTCAGTGGTAAGCGCCCTGGGTTCCATCCCGGTGCCAAGAAAAGGACCCCAGCGTGCTCAGGCTGTTCATTTCAGAAACACGAAGCTTGCTGCGAGGAGGGGCGAGTTCAAGTCATGGCTAATAAGGTCTTGGTCAGGAGGAGAGGCCGTGCTGAGGGGACAATTGGGGACCTTGGCAGTCTAGTCCGTCAGCTTATTTCTCGCTCCTGCCCTGTGTGGCGCAGGTGGGCAGGGTGCCCGGGGGGTGCAGGGAGAAGTGGGGGCACCAGCTCTTACTACTCCTTCCTGAGGGCCCCCCAAGTCTGCTGTGATGTCATTGGCCAAAGCCAGTCACATGAGCAAGGTCCAGCACGGCCTGGAGGGCAGGGAGCCAGAACCTCCCGGTGCACTGGGCGGCCCCCAGGTCCCTGGTGCTCTGCCCGCCGCTGGGTCCCACACGCGGGCACAGACACAGGAGCCGGGAGCACGGGCCTCCGTGGTGGCCTCAGGCTGCGCTGGCCCTGCAGGGTTGGGCTCAGCCACCGGAGACAGGGGTCCAGGACGATCCCTGGTCCCAGAGCCTCCAGGGCTGGGGAGGTGGACGTGGGCTCACTTACTATTGCAGACTCACGCCGAACTGCTGGGTGGGCAGAGGCGGCCGGGGCGGTGGCTTCTTGGTATCAGGAGGCGGCAGCCCCCTGTGCAGGTCACGGAGCTTCTCGTCATACCTGGGTACACAAAAGAGGCAAGTCACACATCGCAGGGGACAGCCCATGGCTGCGGGAGGCCACTTCCAGGTGCTGGGTGGGACCCGGTCGGGTGACATGCCTCGGGTCATCACTGGGCACAGCGCAGATCAGGACTACAAACCCCTGTCCTGCCCTCAGACCAGGGTCTCCGACTCTGGAGCTCAGAGCACACACCGGGGACGTGGGGGTAAATCCCAGATCCACAGCCCTGCCCGGAAGGCAGGATTCGTGTGTCCTCTGGGTCCTTCTGCAGGGTCCCTGGACCACTTCGGGGGCCCTGGCTGCCCAGAGCCTGATTCACACCCTCCCAAGCCCCATCTCCCGAGGACCCACGGGACCTGCCTTTGATGCTACTGGCCGCCTGCATGGTCCTGGACACCCCAGACCACAAGGTGGGCCCCAGAGCTGCAGCTGGGACGCTGGTCTCCCCCAGAAAACTGCCCCAATGGGAACCCCTGGGAGCCAACCCCAGTGACCCTAGTGCAGCCTGGGTTGGGGTCTTGCCCAAGCCCACAATTGACCATGGTCCCCATGGCCTCAGGGTCCAGTCATCGTCCTCCGATGGCCCCAGCCCCAGCCCCAGCCCCCCAGCCCCCCAGTGGTGCCCAGCCCCCCAGCCCCCCAGTGGTGCCCAGCCCCCCAGCCCCCAGCCTGGCGGGCACTCACCGCAGCACCTCTTGGGGGATGGGCAGCTGGTCACACTGGAGGTGCTCCCGGAGCTCTCTCAGGGAGCTGCAATAGGTGACCTTTTTCCCAAACTTGTGACTAGGAAAGCAGAAGACAGCAGGGGTCAGGTGGCAGGGAGAGGCCCTGCAGGGCCTGGGGTGGGCAGGTGGCAGCTCCTGGAGATGGGACATCTGAGGCTGTCCCTCCTGAGGCCTGCCATGCGCCCCGTGCCCATCCCCATGCCCATCAATAAAATGTGCCCAACTTGAATCCACCCTGAGTCTGCACAGATGGAGGAGACCGGGGAGCTCTGCGGGCTTGGCGCACGATCCCAGGGCGCTGGGATCCAGGGTGCTGGGATCCAGGGTGCTGGGATCCAGGGCGCTGGGCCTGGGTGGTGGACAGCTTTGCATTTGACACCTCGCCATTGAGAGTGTCCCCAAGGGCAGAGGCCGAATAGCAGTCTCCAGGCTTGTCCCTGGGGACACCAGGACGCCAGCACAGCCAAGAGTGTCCCCAAGGGCAGGGACCAAATGGTAGTCTCCAGGTTTGTCCCTGGGGACACCAGGATGCCAGCGCAGCCATAAAGCCGGAGGAGCCCTGGCTGCATCCAGCAACCCCCGTCCTGTCCCTCATCTGGGACGACTCGCTCCTCCTCTGGGGGCCCCGCCCCGTGAGACAGAATGAGGTGATTTGCACAAACTCATCCATCGCCAGGCACCTGGGCGACGCCCGGTCCCCGTGAGGATCATATTAATGAAGCTCAGGCTGGTTTTCTCTTGTACTTTTGGAGCAGCGCCTCCCCTATGTGCGTATTCCAGAGGCACAACTATGGATGTGGGGGCGGAATCGCAGTTACCAGGAAGGGAGTTACGGAGTCAGCAAAACCAAATTTGTTACTATTACGACAATTTGCAAGCCGTGAAATAAGTATCCATGCGTTCTCAGTGCGGTATACATTGTGGGATTAAAATAATCCAATTTCACCACTGCCAAAACAACCAGAAAATGGGGGATCGCAGCAGGAAATTACATAAGAGAAGGAGTGAACCACTTGACCCAGCACCGCTGCCTGGGCTGGTGGCCTGAGCCTGTCCCACCTGCAGGGGACCAGAGGGAGGCCCATCTGTGTGCACGGGCTCCCCCTAGTGGAGGAGGGAGAAGCAGCGCTGGGTCCCTGGCCCCTGGTGGGTTTTACAGGGTGACTTGGCGGGACCCTGAACTCAAGGTTGCTATTCTGCTGGAGGCTGGGGACCCGGACTGAAGGCCAGGTGGCTGAAGAGCCACCAAGTGCTGGGAGTAATGCACACAAAGGACAGGGCTTCTCTGGGTTCCAGCACTAGGGGTGGAGGGTCCCACGGAGTGCCCTTGCCACCTGCCCACTCAGACTCCACAGGACTCAGGGGCAGTCTGGCCCCTGCTGGAGACCATAGTTCTCCTGCCAGATTCATACATCTTCAAATGACTCCAGGGCTCAGAGAGGTCATATTACTGCCCAGTGACACACAGCCAACAGGCAGCATAACCCAGTCCTGGCTCCAGGGCCCCCAACCCTGATTCCTGAGGCAGGATGAGGGGTGGAAGGACCCAGGCTAGCCTTGGAATCCCAGCCCCCGCCCATACTGTGTGACCTAGAGCAGGCTGCTCAACCTCTCTGAGCATCAACCTTCTCTTGTTTGAAATAGGGAAAATATGGTTAACTTCAGAGGATGTCTGGGGGCGCCTGGCACATAAGGTGCAGTAGATGTTGTAATTAAATCAAAGAAAAAAGGATAATTAAAAGATTAAACAATACCAGCCCTAACAATGAACATTTGCTAGGGCCCAGCAAGTCCTATTCCAAAGGTTCCCCAGGTCATTGTTGTAACAATGGAGTGATTTAAGTGGTGTTTCTGGCCACATGGGGAAGCCCAGGCAGAGCGGCTGCATCTCTCATCCAGAGCAGTGGGTGGCCAGCAGGACAGAGGTGACCCAGGAAATGTGGCTCCAGAACCATCCCAGGCCACGGTGGCCAACCTCAGGCACAGGGGACCTTGCCGTGTCCCCTGAAGACCTTCGAGGTCTCTAGAACCTTTGGGCTTCCTAAGGCGAGTGGCAGCACCTGGAGTTGGAACGTCTGAAGCTGACCCTGGACCGCAGGGTGACCAGCACTGGCTTTCTCGCTGTTAAATCTGTCAGAGGCCCCCTGGGCACTGCTCCTGGCCCATCACAAACCCACAGGGACCTCACTTCCAGCAGGTGGCCAGGTGGGAAGGCCTGGGACCAGGAGGCCAGCCAAGTCAGCTCTGGCCTTGAAACCTCCTTCGTTCCCCAGGACCTGACTCGGGTCCACTGCCCTGGGGACTCAGGGCCACACGGTTCCCTCCTCCTGGGGGAGGAGACCCCCCCCCCGGCCAAGCAGCCCTGGGCCCTGTGACACAGTGTGTCTGTGACCTCGTAACAGAGTTCAGTCCCAGTCAGCCCTCCACACCGGGGGAGCCCGGAGCCCCCTGAAGACCCGTCCCCAGCCCCGAGCCTGTCCAGATGCTCATTTCTGCAGACCTCTCACCCGGCTCCACATCACGGGGCCTTGCTGGGGCCTGGCACACGTGGGTGCAAAGGTACCCGTGTCTGCAGGACCAGCGAGGCCACGTTCTGCAGAACACGGGTGGGGCCCATGGAGAGGGCAGGCAGAGGGGCAGCCGTGGGCTCATGGTCACCCCAGCCTCGGAAGGCAGGGTGGGGCCCCAGGGGAGTGGGCGGGGCTGGGTGCACCTGCTCCCACGACCACGGGGATCACGGGCCACGGGTGAGTGACGGGGCAGTGGGACCTTGAGGTTTCAGAATATGAGTGATGGGTGGGGGGCTGGCCAGCCGCCAGGAGTTGTGACAGTGCCCAGTGGCCACAGCAACCAATGACCACAGACCTCGGCCTATGCCACCCACTCACTCCCTGCAGGTCTGTGGGTGAGGGCCACATAGGTCTCGATGGTGATGTCACAGAGGTGCGGGGTGGGCTCCCCGGGAGGCAGGGTCCACTTCTGTCCTTTGGGGTCCACACTCCGCGGTGCGGCTCCCCACCCCACACACAGCTGGCAGAGCGGCAGCTCCAGCCCCTCCATCGGCACTTTGCCCCCTCAGACCTCGGCTGGGACAGGAAATCGGGACCTGTGACGTCCTCAGGCCCAGCTGGGGGATCCTTGGTCACCTCTGCAAGGTGCCTGGTACCCTGGAGGTGACGCCTTTGCAGGTTCTTAGGGCCATTATTCAGCTGACAGCTGCAGTGAAGAGGGTCCCCAGGCCCCAGAACTGCTGCTGGCCGACAGCCCAGGGTCCCCAGGGCTGGGTGTGCTGACACAGAGACACAGGCCCCCGGGGGCAGGACGAGATGCAGCGGCTCAGCCCCTGGGGAGACGACCCGCGGTGGGCAGTGCCAGGGCCAGGGGCCCAGGTCTCTGGAGGCTGGTTACCTCCTGGATATCGGCTGAGGAAACGGGAAGTCACCCACCCAGCTCCACCTGGCTCCCCACCTGGGCACAGAGCCCCACACCTGCCCACCACGATGACCGTGGGGGGAGGGACGCTGTCAGGCCACCACAGGAGGGTCGGCTGGGGGAAGGCAGTCAGGGCCCCGAGGAGGCAGGGAAGGCCGTGGGATCTGTGCCCACGTGTCCAGAGAGGGCCGGGGAAGGGTGACCTCCCTTGGGAGGCAATCCTGCTCTTGGCCACTCCTGGGAGGCCCTCCCGAGTCCCCCTGACCCTCCAGGACACACTCCTCCTCCTCTGCCGATGTCCCAACCTCTAGGGCACACCTGGGCCCTCCTGGCCTGGGCCCGTCCAGGCCAGGCCAGAGTGGCCCGCAGAAGCCAGGCCTGGGGTGTGTTCCTGCCCAGCTGCGCCACGTGGCTCCAGGCAGTGGGCGCCTGATGCAGGTGCCAAGCTGGGGGGCGAGGAGATGCCGCTGGGGCCTGGCAGAGCCCCGAGCCTGGCCACCCACACTGAGAGCGTCAGGTGGGAAAGAGTCCAGACTCCGGGGACGAGGTCGGCTGAGGCCTCAGGTCCAGCTCTTCATGCCGTTGGCTCCGGCTGCCGGCAGGAGGGGCTGACCACAGGCCGAGTGTCCAAACCTGTCTGCTCCAGAGCAGGGAGTGGCCCTTGCCCTGCTCCTGGGGTGGCCTCTGAGCTTTTGGAACATCTGATAAGAAGGTCTTTGCGTCTGCAACCTGAGGACACCAGGTGGTGGACACCAGCCATTTGCTCTGGGCAGGGCTTGGGCTGTCTACATCTGACCTCGCAGGAACTGAGTCACTGAGTCGGCCAGGAGGTCACTCCATGGTTACGGGACCAACCCCAAGAAACCCCCTGGGCCCCGAGGATTGGCCACGCTGCACTAGTGAGCAGCACCCGCTCCCCGTGCCACATGTCACACCCGAAGTCACGCACTGTCTGCAGCGTGCCGCTGTGGAGGGGAGCGGGGGCTGGCGCTGTCCCTCAGCCGACTCTGAGCCTAGCCAGGCTTCCTCTGCGCTGGGCCACACGGAAAGAAAGACAGCTTCTCTGTGTCCACGGCCCTCGGGTCAACGACTGAACTTGGGTGTGGTCTTGGGGACCCCAATGCAGCTGTGCCGTGTGGGTGCTCGGGTCGGGGGTGGGGGGGTAAAATCCAGGCACTCGCCTCTGGCACCCGGGGCCAGCGCCCCTGTCCACGGCCCTCAGAGGGTCGTGCACACGCCCTGGGCCATGCTGCGACTCAGCATAGACCCCTTGGGCTGGCAGGGGGCCCAGACCCGTGGCCAGCCTAGAGGCGGGACCTGCGGTGAAGGTGACCCCCCCTGTCCTTGCCAAGAGTGACACCCACCTGATGAGCGGCTTGAAGAGTTTCCAGAGGACCTTGATGAAGCTGGTGGGGTGCACCACGTAGAGCGCCTTCAGGTTCTTCTTGTACCTGGGGAGGGGACCAGGGGGCCCTTGGGCTGCGGCTCAGAGTCCCTCCCAGCTGGAGCTGGGACAGAGCCACAGCCGGGGTCTCGGGCCTCCCCCCAACATTTAAGAATGCTGAGCCAGAAATGGGGGTTCACTCTCGGGGGATCAGGACCCCAGTCCGCCCCACAGGCACGCTTGCAAGACGAGGTCACTCTGCCGGCGCTGCCCTGCAGGGTGGCTGGGGCCTGGGGCGACTTGGGAACAGCTCTCAAAATCAGACTTGCACGGCCCCCCTGGCCCTCACTCCCCCACGCTCCCCCACAGTGAGAGGCCGACCCCTTGGGTCACGGTGCGGTCACCATGGCGGGGACAACAGTGGGCATCTGGGTCTGGGTGAGCAGCAGGGTGTTCACGGCCTAAGACACGCCCAGGGATGGCGTCAAAGCCCGCACCCCAGGGTCGCCAAGCTCACAGGTTGCCCTACGCCATTCCTGCCTGGAGTGACCTCTGGGTCCTCGGCCAGGCCCAGCTCCACCACCCGCCCTCGGGGGCAGCGGGGAGCTCTCAGGCCAGAAGCCGGCAGGAAAGCCAGGGTGGGCGGAGGCAGGCTGGAAGCCCCCAGCGCCTGACCCGACCGACGGGGCTGGAGCGCCCTCTGCACAGCGCGGTGACAGGGACTCACCACTGAACACGGCCCTGACAGTGCTGACCCTAGGGCCCAGCTTTCTGCTTGTGCGGAGCCTGGTCTGAGCCCCAGCCCGTCCACCTTCCCGAGCAGAAGCCCACAGGCCAGCGGCTTCCATCTGACAGTGAACTTGACCAGGGCCTTCCGCCCGGCCCCGGCCCCGACCCCGACCCGAAATGGCTGACCAGGATCAGCACTTCTCCCCAGCCAGACGTGCCACCTATCAGTGGCCTTTGTGTGAGTGTGGACGGTCCCCCATGCTGGGCGGGCAGCCTCCACCTGGATCTGGTGACGTGACCTTTTGCTTTGAGTTGTTCCTGGTCACAGCCCGCAGCACAGAGCCAGCTGCTGGGCACCGACACGTGACCTAACTGCCCAGGGCTGTGCCGCCTCCTCAGGTGGAAGCTGTCCACTTCCAAAGCCAGACCCAGCAGCCGCCCATCCACTCTACGCCGTGACCCGCCGCACTCAGCCCACACGGTGGCTGCCCAGTGCCCGAGCTGGCACGCACTTCCTGTCAAACTCCTTGTAGGCGCTCTGCAACCAGCCCAGGGACGGCTTGTTCCCGCCGTGGAGGCCGTGGTGGAAGTAGACGAGGCTGTAATCGTTCTCCACGTACTGGTCCAGCGTGAACTTCAGGTACCTGGACAACACACAAGACATGGACGTGAGGGCCTCCTCCCCGCCCTCACGTGGAGGGCACGTCGGCTTCTCTGGCCACCCAGCAGAGCCGGCACCGGGCCACACAGGGTCACATCCAGAGCCATTGGAGACCCCACACGCCAGGGCCCAGCCCTCAACTGCTCGATGAGGCTCAGAGACGTTAAGCCACTTGCCAGGTCACACAGCTGATAGGTGGACATGGTAGGCCAAAGCATGACCCCCCCAAACACATCCCCGTCACATCCCCAGAACCCGGGACGTGACTCATCTGGAAGAAAGGTCTTTACAGATGTGGCTGAGTCAAGGGTCTCGTGAGGAGGAGCTCGTCCTGGATTAGCTGGGCGAACTCTGGATGCCGTCACACACACTTAACAGAGGGACACGAAGGGTGGCTCAGCGGGGAGAAGGCCCCGTGGAGAGGGTGAGGGACCAGGCCAGGGAGGACTTGCCCACAGCCCGGAAGCAGAGGAGGCGAGGGACAGTCACGGGCTGCAGGGGGACTGGGGGAGTAGGTCCCCAGAGCCCCGACTGCACCTGGACCAGGACCCTGGGAGAGCACCGCTCTGTCTTATGCCACCGGGTTTGGGGTCATTGTCAGAGCAGCCACAGAGGATGGGCTGAGATTCCAGCCGGGGCTGCCCGGCTCCCCAGCCCTCCCCAGCGCCAGCACCACCATGCTGCTGGGCCGCCGAAGCGCCGTCCTCCCCAGAGGAGCCGCCCAGCATCTGTCCTCTGTCACTGGCCAGACCTCCCTCCCATCACGTCAGGGCTGCACGGCCCTCGATCCGCCCGCTGCAGCTGGAGAACACTGTCCTCGGGCCACCACGGAAAGGCCTCATCCTGCCATCTGCGAGGGACCTCGCTTCACCCACATCACTTTGGCAGCTGGCCCTGACGCCAAGTTCACGGGGTCACCAAGCTCATGGGGTCGCCAAGCCCACAGAGTCACCAAGCCCACAATGTCACCAAGCCCACAGTGTCACCAAGCCCACAGTGTCACCAAGCCTACAATGTCACCAAATCCACAGAGTCACCAAGCCCACAGTGTCACCAAGCCCACAGTGTCACCAAGCCCACAGAGTCACCAAGCCC